TTAAATACAATAAAATATAGCAACACGTATCTGTGGGTTTCCTAAGATACTCTTATCCATTGAAGTCTTCAAGAAAAGATATATCTATTGTGTTCAAATACTTGTTTGACCAATTACAAGCCCATGCTCATTTCGTTAAACAATATATTATACCCTATAGCTTGAAATACCAAATATTATTTAACACCTTCCAAATGACATTTTTAAGAGACAGTTATGTAGGGGGCCTTGTTTTGTTATGTTACATAATAACTCTATGCTCCAGCACACCATAGCTGCTTTTATTACAGAAATCTCTTTAAGAGCTAAGAGTTTACATTTTCACAAAATCCTCATTCCCTTTAATGTAAACTATTATGAATCTGTCACCGCGGATTTTCTTAAATCTTTTATGGGAGGCTATTTATATTTTCAGTCTGTACCATTTCTTGCAGCGAAGACTTTTATAGTCTTGTTACTTTTTCTGTTTAAAGTTAAAAAAAAATTATTCCTGCTAAAGTTACTCTCCTAAACTTAAAAGGTTGTATCTTTTAAGTTTTCAGCCTATGCTTATCTTTGTGATTTATAGATTTACAAAATCATTTTTAAAAAATCTTCCTTGCCTTTGTCTTCTGGCTACAAATTCTAAACTCAAAATCATTTCTTTTCTGCGACAGTGTTCCTTCTCCTCTATTCTCTCATTACATTTCTCTGGTCTTCCTCCAACGCCGTTCCCATCTTTCTTGAGATGTAGCAATCAGAACTGCCAAATGTAAAATCGACATTGAGAATCGTAGACTCAGATAAGTTCATCCCTGGTTGGGAGCTGAGAAATCTTCCAGGTTAAAGCTTCCCAGCCCTTTGTGCTGTCTGCACACCCCGCATCCTTTCTCATCAGCGACCTTGCATTTACATACAGCGATTCTTAATAAAGCTGAATTTGAAGCGAAGGATGGAGGTGAGAATGGCAGGACTTCTCTAGCAGGCTTTATAATCCCTGTGTTGGATTATAGAGTTTTAAAAGGGCCCCTGGAGATTTTGAAATGGGTCTTTTACTGATCTACTACAAGCCTCCCTCTTATTTTAAGGCTGAAAAAAATAAATTAGAGATTTGAAATGATTTACCCCAAGCTATATTGCTAGAAAATGGCATACTCATTTTTGGCAAACCCATTTTTGGTTGTTCTTAATATTTTTTTCAGCTGATGTCTTATACCCTGAAAATATGGGCAGGATTTGAGGGGAGATAAAACTTCATCAACAGCACCCACCCCAGTTCTAACGGGTAACTTCTTAATTTTAAACATTAAAGAAATATACACTTATGATTACCAAAAAAAAAACCCTACCTAGTTTTATAACACAAAATAGTTATTCTCTCTTTCCTCACAGCAATCTTCCCTCAGAAGTGACCAGTTTCCTTTTCAGCTTCTCCTTATATTGTTTACTCATTTTTATATTCTAAATATGATGAGTATGCCATTATCTTTTAGTTCATCAATATTAGACCTTGTCTACTGATGTTCTATTTTGGTAAATATATAGGAAATAGTTTTTTTATGCCACTGTTCACTTCCCTTATTCATCATTGAATTTTCAGATAAATATTCAATGGTGTCATTATTATTCCTGTCCAAACATTAAGAGCCAAGCATTGACAGTTACTGTAATTTTGTTTCTTTTCTGTTTGTTTTACCTAAAATTAATAATTGCCTTGCTTGTGTGTGTCTACTTTTCTTTGCACTCATTGCTAACTCTTCCACATTTTCCCATGACCTGACAGTACAATTTTCCACAAAGTCAATCACATTAAGGAGGCTATCACTTCCAATATTGTTCTTTGGAGAGATTTCTCCTGAAGACACGCTTTCTAACCCTGCTGCACAGCCATCGTTCTGGGTGTTTTCTTTGCTTTTCGGAATCCCTATTTCTTGGGTCTCATGTGTTTTTATTGCTTTCACTTATGGTTTGTTTTCCCCCTTTGAACGTTTCCTCATTTCCTCTGAATGTATCCTTTGTAAGTTTTGTCAAGCTAAAACAAGAACACAGAGTAGTTGCAATGGCGATGACAGCCCTCACCTTTCCAATTTGAATTCCTTCACTCTTTTCTGTGACCTGCTTTTACCATCAGCATGAGAGCCCCTTTGCTTCTATCTGGGTTGGGTCTCTGTTTTAATACTTCTTACATCTCCCTTATGATTCTCAAACTGAGTTTTATGGCAGACATCGCCTAGGAGCTTCTTAAAAAATGGTCTGTGGGAGAAGTTTTAAAGGCATATTAGGGATAGGTTGTCATTATTCCATAAATACATATTATTAAACTGTAATAAGAACTCTAAAGAATATGGAGCCATAAAAAACTATTTCTGCCCATAGAAAGTTTATAGAATAGGCAGACAGGCAAGAAGTCTCTATGATATAGTTAAAGGAAAATTTACGAGTAAGACAAAAATTATAATCCAAGGGCTTTTCAAAGATACATAGGATAAATTGTTATGTGAAAAGGAATACTTACCTCTTATAAACTCAGAGCCAGAAAGTCTACTTTGGATGGAATGTTCTGGAAGTGGTGGCTCTTAAACATTCAAAAAGTGGTAGGATTTTGAAAAACGGATTTTGAAAAACAGGTCAGAAGTATTTTTTTATATGGTTGTAAAATTTTTATGTGGAAAGAACATTAAGAATATTCTAGAGATAAAACTCTTTGACTCAAACAGAGTATTGGACAAAACTCTGGGATAAAGTTGGAAAAGTTGGTGATTGATTATGGAGGGATATTAAATTCTAGATGTGGCAATTTGAATTCATTCTTTGAGATCATAAGTACATGCTGAGATGAGAATTTGTATATCCAGAGTGTCCCATGAATGGGGTTGTAGCACGGAATCTTGTGTGTCTGGCTTCATTCACTTAGCAGAATGCGTATGAGATACCATCCATGGTGTTCCATATCTCAGTAATTTGCTTATCTTTATTGCTACGTGAGTATACTGTTGTATGCAAGTACCAGACTTCATGTATCCATTTACCGGTTGACATTGGGGTTGTTTCCACTTCTGGACCATTATAAATAAGGGTGCTGTAAACATTTGCATACAGATTCTGTGTAGACACACCTTTTTACTTCTCCAGGGTGAATACCCAGGGATAGGATGGCTGGATTATATCACAAGTGCATGGTTAGCTTAAAACTGCCAAGTGTTTTTCAAAGCGGCTACAGCACTGTACACTCTTACCTGCAATGTAGTAGAGTTGCGGTTCCCCCACAATCTCCCGAGCACTTGGTGCAGTCATTCTCTGAGAGCAAGATGTGGTGAGGTTTGAGTGCACATTTCTATAGTGATTGATGATGCTACTAAGTGTCTTTTCATGTGCTTCTTTGCCCTGTGAAACACATCCCTTGTACGGTGATGTTTAAATATTTTACATTTTTTAAAGAATATGTTTATTAATATGTGAAAATGATACTTATTCACTATAAATTAAAAAATGCCAACAAGTACAAATAGAAATGCAAACCAATTTAAAGCCTAGTGCTTAATAAGTTAACATACCATACATTTTTCTCTTCTGCGTATATATGTAGATAGAAGGATCATGACAAATGGATGGATGAGTGAATAGATAGGAAAAATATGTAAAACATGAAGTCATATTGGATATGCTGACTTTTATTGAGATACAATTCATATACAGTAGTCTCTTATCTGTTGTTTCATTTTCTGTGGTTTCAATTACCTGTTGTATAGTACAAGATATTTTAAGAGAGAGACTGCATTCATAGATCTTTTAATGCAGTATGTTGTTACAATTGTTCTGTTGTATTATTCGTTTTTGTTGTTAACCTCTTACTTGACTGATATATAAATTAAACTTTATCATAGGTATGTGTGCACGTGGGCCGTGGACACATGGTTTTTAGTATATGGATCATGTTGTATCACCATCATGACTTCTAGTGTCAGAAAATTTATAACCCTAAAGAACATTCCACTTTGTAAGCAGTTAGTCTCTGTTGCCCTCCACCCCCTAGTTCGTGTACCTTCTTTCTTTATGGATGTGACATTTTAGGAGTTTTACATAGATGGGATTTCCTAATATGTGGTGTCTTATGTCTGTCAGTTTCACTGAGCGTATTGTTTTCAATGTTCAACCATGTTGTATCAGGTATGAGTCTTTCATTCCTTTTTATAGCTGAAGAGTACTCCATGTATGGTATACTGTATTGGTTTATCAATTCCTTGATCAATGGTGGACATTTGGGTTGTTTCTACTATTTGGTTGTTATAAATCATGGTGCATTAAACATCTGTGTACAGATTTTTGTAGGGAAGTATGTTTTCAGTTTCCCTGAGTTTAAATACCTAGGAGTGAAATTGTTGGTCTCTATTTTTTTACTGAGTTACCTATTTTCTTATGGGGCTCTGACATACGTCTAGTTTTAAATGTTGGCTTTAGAGATATGTGTATCTTTTAACTTAGGTAATTCCAGGATAGTTCTATGTTCAAATTATGATGTAGATTTAATGAAGGGCTTATAAAAGCTTGATTGCCCAATGTGTTCTAAATATTATTAAATCAAATTAAAAAATAAACTTGTATTTATCTGAACTGTCTAAAAATACATAAAGTTGACCCTCTAAATTATTTTTATTTTATCTTAAATATTCAGCTTTTACTTCCTAGAATTGATTTAGTCACTGATTTTATGAATATTTCTGGATATTGCTTTTTGGGTGCTTCGTGTAATATCAAAGTATTGACTTAGAACATGGGGGAAGAACTTAGTGTGCAATGTAGTCATAATTATGTTACGATGCGGATGTGGTTTTGTTAGTATTCTTGTGTCTCCCTCTCACTCTGCTCACAATTCACATGCCTCCTCCACTAAGGATTATTCAAGAGACACATATAAATAAATCTCCAAGTTATATTCAGTGACTTAAATAAAAGTTCCTTTGAAGCTGTCTGTTACTCTTTTATTTAGGGTATGCGCGCTGTGGAATGTCACCCTGTGTAAGTAATGGAACCTGCCTGTCGTGTTGTTCCTTTCAGTATTGCTGACAGACAGAATGCCTTGGAGGCTGAGCTGAGGACAGTGCAGGCCTCTCGCAGAGATCTGGAGAACTTCCTAAAGTGGATCCAGGAAGCTGAAACCACAGTGAACGTGCTGGCGGATGCCGCTCAGAGGGAGAATGCTCTTCAGGACAGTGTCTTGGCCAGGGAACTCAAGCAGCAGATGCAGGTAAATGCACGGAAGCCACAAACAGTGTTCGCATTTCTGTCACTGTCCTTGGATCCATCTTGGTGCAAATTTGTTACTGTTAAAAGGTGAGGTTGCCACCTTATTCTGCTATGAAATCCCCGCTCTCCTGTGAATAATTAGTTCCTAGAAATAAAATCTGTAAAATATTTTTACTTACTATTAGAGGAAAAAAACACCACCTTGTTTTATGAAAGTAATAATTGTTTATTTAGAGTTAGAGGCTCATAGCTATTCTGTTTTCTGTCATTTTAAGCCCTATTACAGTTAGCTTTATTGAATCCTAAATTATCAGGGCATTTTCCAGTAATGTGAAGTTGTTTCTTTCCCCATTTATTATACATACTTAATATAAAAGCTGCAAAAGCTATATGGCTTAGTTTATAACTAAGAATATTAGCCTCGAAGGTATTACTTTTATGTCTTTAGCTTGATAATTATGATTGTACATACAGAATGAGGTTCAAATTTTTCTTCTCCATGAAGTATGCTAATACAGAATCTTTCCTTTACAAAAATTACAAAGAAGCTCATGAAGGATGTGTGAATCTTTTTTCTGCCCCAGGTCATTCTGCTTGAGTGCTCTTGAACCTCCCATTTTATCTGCCTAGATTGGCCTGTTCTTGCCAATCATATAGGCCTTCTCCCTTAGATCTTAGTTCCAAACCTGTGCCAGTAAGATCTAAACCTTGCCATTTCGGTCTCACATCAGTTTGACCATTATTTTTTTCCGATAACAGCTGTGAACATGTGTCCCATTGTCATCTGATGCATGTCTCCACCTGTCTCAGTCGAGCACACGATTCTTAAAGGACTTGGTATTATTCCACATTGTTGTCCATGCAGGGCCCTGTGTCCTAAGTAAATACTAACTACCACTCTTGGACCTGGGCTTCACTCTTATGAAATTCAGTATTGATGACCTTTTGAATTTGTTCTTAGGAACTCTTTTTCCCTTGAAATATCAAAAAGACTCTTTCACGAAATGTCAACAAATATGTGGCTGTGGATAAAGGGTATTGAGTCTTTGAACCAACTTTTATTCTTACAGTTCTTCTCTGAGTTTGAAATTATTTTCATTAAAAAGTTATAAAATGTAAAAAAAGGGGATCTTTTGGATTGGGCTTATTAGGAACTTGTTTCCATGCGTAAAGACTCTTACGGTGTTTTGCTAATCTGTTAATCTGTTCTTCAGATTAACTTAATGAAAATTTGTGTTTATTTACATGACTTCTGATTTCCTGTTCATTTTCTAATACCTTTGTGACTTGGTAGTGAGTATGACCGGACAAGTGAAAGAGTTAAATCCAATCCTTTATCTCATTCCCTGGAGTCTCATGAGGTCACAGTCAATGTTCACTGATAAAATATTTACCCATCATCTCAATTTTAGGGGATTATAGAGGGCCGTAAATATGGATAGATGCTGGAATATACTATTTTTAATGATTTAAACAACTATAAGCCTGACCTATAAATGTTCACAGGTAATTTATGTAATGGTGTTAATTTCAACATCTATTTAGGCCATGCACTTAAGTGGTGACAGTTTACAGACCAGACGTGAAAGGAGGCTTGAAATGAACCTTGGTAATGAGCACCAGCCACACAGGCCTGTTGCAGAGTTTAATGATGTTTTCTGACGTGTTTAATCTTAGGATAGATTCTTACCATAACCAAAACTCTCCTCAATATTTAATGAATATTCAAACTGTGGAAGACATAAATGTAAATAGAAATGTTTCAAGTCTTTCTCAATAAAAATAGCTCAGCACAGGATTACTTGTCGTGTGGCAAACAGCATTGAGAAGGAAAGGTTGCTGACAAAAAACACTAAAATACATTATAATATGTATCAAAATTGCTTCTCAAAAATAATTTAATGTTACTGAAATGGAATCTTGTGGCTCAAAGAATGTAATAAAGAGGGGATTTATTAAGAGCCTTCTTAAATCTCTGTTTATCTAAAGATAAACACATGCATTTGTTTAATGTAGAGGATGTTTCTCAAAATGGAAATCTGCATGATTTTTCCCTCTCTTCCTCCTTTATTAAATGGTCTTAATTTTAAAGCATTCTCCCGTTCTATTTAAAAAAATATTCTATGGCTTTATTTTTAACGCCTTCTATATAGATGGCTGTTAGAGACTTAATACCTTTCACAGAGTATTTCTGAGACAAGAAAATTTTAATTTTCTCATGGGTTTATGTATGAATGAATCTCCTTTTGTGTGAATGAACAGGCCATTTAAAACGGAAGCTTGTTTGGAAATGGAGACGTGTTTGGTGAAGGAAATGACTGTACAAAAGCACGTCAAATCATAAAATAAATTTTCTGTGAGGAGATGGTGGCAGCAGGTGGGTACGTGTGCACTCCTAAAGATGGTGTTTCGTTAGAATGAAGAAGTTGGTTTTATATTCAGTTTAGGTTGAATCTTGGGCAAATTTTGATAAAGGACAGTTCTAAAGCATGAGGAAGATGAAGATGAATTTGGAGGAGTATGCTGTAATACACGCAATTTCTGTTAAGGATGGATGATCATTTGGATTTCTATATTTATGTTTCATTGCCCTGTGGCAAGACTGTCAGGTTTTATCCCTCAGCCGAGGCCTTTTGGTAAGAGAAAAGCTGACTCTTGGGTGACTGCAAGAGAGACAAGCTCCTTGAGAGCTGAGTAGCGCATCTCCTGAAGGGTCTTGTATGTCTTGGCTAAGTATCGAACATTTTAACCTGCTGTCAACCGGGAGAAGGCAGAAAGGATAACTAACCAAGAGGGATGCAGTGGGGTTTCTGCTTTATAGGGATCTGACTGATGACATTTTTGAGTGACAGTGGGCAGGTCTGTTAGGCCATTCTTTAGTCCTCCATTATCTGGTGATAATGACCAGACAGAAGGCACTAGCAGGGCAAGACCTAATGACTGGACAGTACAGGCACAGGACGGGGAAGAGTCCAGGAGGTGGTACTAGAGCCCACCACTGGGATCACAGGAGAAGGAAATAGCACAGCAGGGATGAGGTTGGTGGGAAGCGTGAGAAGATGGCATAGATTCCATTAGAACATGTTGGAATGAGGCATTTGTGTAACACCTGGGAGATGTCTGGTGTGTACGTGGGGGTTGCTGTGAATCTGTATTCAGACAAGAGAATTTGGCCACAGAAGCAAGAACTTTTCATTCTTTTTATTTCATTTTATGTTTTGCTCTTGAGTGAAAGACTTCTGACAAGTTTATTAATTCAAATCCATTTATTCCTAATGTTTGTGCCCATGTTCTAGAGTATTATTATTTTAATTCTATTTGAAAACTTAAGCCTTACATTTTAGCAGCACCAATTAATTGAGATGTTCCTATTCTTTTCATGGATAAAATGCTGAGACCTGCTGCTTCCTGGGGCGGTATTGCAATAGGTGGCTGGTGTTGCTCTTTTAATTTGTTTTTAGGATTATTATACTTTTATCTTTCAAGTTTGGTTTTAGCCTAATTTTTCTCTTCTTGTTCCATAGACACATTTTGATTGCAGCGTGTTTCAGATCTTTTTCCACATCTACCTCCATGCGTAGCACTGTGTTTGGGGATAAATACTTAGAGCGTCTACCAGTTCTGGAAAAGAAATGATGACTTTGTATTTTTAATAACAGCGCCATTTGTATATATAATTCATATACTATAAACTTAATTAGTATATAATTCACACTTGATGCAGTTCATCCATTTAGAGTTTACAATTCAGTTGTTTTTTAGTACATCCACAGAGTTGTGCAAACCTTGTCACAATCAAGTTAGAACATTTTCATTACCTTGAAAAGAAATGGTTTACCCTTTAGCAATCGATTCCCCATTTCTACCCCAGAAAAATCACAAATCTGTTTTTATCTATTTGCCTATTAACTTAGTGTTTTCAATCATGTTATTTGACTACAGCCTCTGGTTTGGCATGTGTATTAAAACCCTGTTAGCCTCACCAGAGGGAGGCAGTGTGGATTCTTAGCACAGACCTTCAGGGAAAAAATATGCCAGCAGGAACCCGCAAACCACTGCTTGATAAACACGACTCTGTAAGACCCAATAGAACTTTAAGTTATGTTAAAATGAAGGACAGAGAAAGGCAGATGAAGTGAAAGAGGAGAAACAAATGCTTAAACCCTGTATTTCTTTCAAAGACTCAGGGTAACAGCAGAGAGAGCGGAGGTTGGGCATTGCCCAGGTTACTAATTTGAGCCAGACACTGATAATGAGAAGCATCTGGGTTCTATTTCTGGCCGTGCTCTTTGACCCAGTCATTTAATCATTTGGGGTCATTCTGCTCATCTCCTGACAGTACTTTTCTCCCATGGCCATTTGTGAGGTATTCAGACGGCAGCAGAGAGCGTCTCACGTCCGTAGACCTACACATCAGAAGCCAAACATTCTAAATTGGGTCTTTATACTATATAATTATGGTCTCATATTTTCTATTCATAAAATTAAAACAGTTTTATGGCAACTAAAATGAGATCACGAAGATGCTGTCTACAGGGGGAATATTCAGTAGTCAATTACAGACTTTATTTTTTATTAACTTCGCCATTTAATTGGATGAGTCCTAACCTATTTCATTTCTAATGGCTTTCCTCCTAGGCAGTCTTAAGAGTCCACGGACAGCTCTGCTTTTAGGGTATGTTAGGTAGAGCACCATACCCCCTGCCAGCATTTCTGTTTTGTTTTTGTTTTGCTTTTTTGTTTCCCATGATCTTGTGCTGAGACCGGTCTGGAGGTTATTTATTAGCACTTAACGTAGGGACTGCTATCCTTGGGGTTAGGTACCCTTTTGCTCTTGCCGGGATTTATAACTGCGCCTCTTATTCACTCATTCACAGAGCACTGCCAGAGAGCTGTATTTATCAGGTGGGGAACGCACCCCTCTTTAGGAGGGTGAATGCTACTTTCTCTCTTAACATAAACCAGCTACAGGGCGTGCACTGTGTGGTGGCGGCAGCGGTG